TCCAGGGCAGGTCTCTGTCCTTACCCCACTCCCCCATCACAGTAGGAATTCTCCCTGGCCAGGGAGTGTGCCTCTGCCATCAGGCTGAGCTCTTCTGGCACAGGGCGGCTGTGCTTCCTCCATTTGACTGGGGGTTCTCCCAGGAGAGGGACTGTGCCTCCCCATCAGACTGGGGCCCGCTGGGGCAGAGATGCATCTCCTCTTTCTGTTCCTTCCTGACCCCTGATACCTCTTCACCTGACATCCCCCGTGCTGAGTAGCTGACCCTACCCTTCCCAGGCATCCAGACCACCGTGGTGTTTTGGCCAGCTAAGCTGCAGGCTAGCGACCGTGTCATCATGTTCCGCTTTGAGTTCTGGGACTGCGGGGAGTCTGCGCTCAAAAAGTTTGATCACATGCTGCCGGTAAGCAGGCAGGTGGGCCTGGGTGGGCTCCAGGGAGGGCCTGGTTATCTGAGGTAGACTTCTGAGGGCAGATGTCTGAGCCAGGCCTGCCTGATCTGCAGGAGCTGGAGCTGGGCATGAATGGGCTGAGGGCACTGCCCTAGGCCATAGGGCTCTGAGCTGGCTTTGGGGGCTGGGTTCCAGCCCAACTCTGCACTCCCTGCTCTGGGCCTCAGTTTCCCAATCTGTGCAAGGACGGATTGTGCTGGATTTCTCAGGGCCTTGCAGCTGATAGGAGGGTCCGGCCCCCGGCCCGTGCCTCTGTCAGCCTCTCCATCACAGGCTTGCCAGGAGAAGGCAGATGCTTTCCTCTTCCTCTTCTCCTTCACCGACCGTGCCTCCTTTGAAGACATTCCTGGACAGCTGGCCCGCGTAGCAGGTGAGGCCCCTGGTGCCGTCAGGATGGTAATTGGCTCCAAGTATCCTTTGGTTGGCCCCTGGGACTGTCAGAGGCCACACTTGGCAAGGTGTGGTGTAAGGGGGTCAAGGACCCTGACTTTGTCCGGTGTGGGGTCCAGCCTGTGGGCTTTCTCTTAAAGGAGGCAGGGTAGCCTCCCAGGCCCTTGGAGTGGGGCTCCAGGGAGGACAGGAGGAC